CCTGAATAGAATCTATCAAAAAGTTTAAATTTTTTATGAAGCAAAAATTGTTTGATAATTGCAACTGGGAATGAAGTGATCGTTACTATGCTTTTTCCAAATGCTTTCATATTTTAGTGTATAACACATTACCAGGTAGTGGTAAAGTAAAAAATGACTTTCAATAAGAATTACTTATAAGCAATATTGAATAAAAAATTATTCTATTCTATTCTGTGTAACACAGTTATTTTATAGGTCCTATAATGTAAATGTTTAAAAAGCGATTCTCTGACTACTAGGCATCGCGATGATGGTCATGTTACGTCTACGTCGTTTCAGGCCCCATAACCGTGGATGGAACAATTCGGAGGTCAGATTGCACACATCTGATCTCCGAATTGTAACCATTAACACGGATTTTTTTAAATTTTTAGTTTAAGAATATCACATCACTAAACCAGCCTACAATCCACCAAATGGTAAGTAGTCACTGCAGCTCATGTACACCTGAAAATAACTTCAAACAAATAAAGAAGTAACATTGTTCAAGGACAACAAGGAAGTAACATTGGCAACTCATCTTAGGAACCTTTACGACCACCTAGTAAAAGAACAATAATGATAATATACATGAAAAAGAATTTGTTGCATTTTACAGTTTATAGTACTCATGGCTCATGCGAGCAACTTTGGTTCGAGCCCCGTCGCTGCCAATGAAATGGTTAATCATCATCATTATTACAGCCCTTCATCCACTGCTGAACATAAGCCTCCCCAAGGAATGCCACAAAACACGGTCCTGAGCCACCTGCATTCATAGACTTCCTGCATGTCTTACCAGGTCGTCACTCCATCTAGTGGGGTGAGGCCCTACACTTCGTCCGCCGATACGAGAACCTTTTTTCCCTATCGGTTGTCGGTTCTTTGAGCTATATGGCCGGTCCATTGCCAGTTCAGCTTACTAATCCGTTGGGCTATGTCGGTCACTCTGGTTCTACTGCGGATATCCTCATTTCTAACTTTATCACGCAGAGAAACATTTTTTTTAATGGAATAATGGTGACAAGGGAGCACACAGCCCACCTGATGGTAAGTGGATGCTGTAACCCATAGACTTCTACATTCATCCTCAACTAAGAATCAAAAATGGCCGTGTAGTGGCGGTTAAGAATATACACTATCCCATATCTTCCCGTGGGTGTCGTAAAAGGCGACAAAGGGAAACTGGCAGGCGATGGGCAGCAGCATATTCCTGTTAACAGAAAATTATAATAAAAAAACTGCGGTTGCCAACCCACTCGCCAAGCGTGGCAACTATGGCAAATATCCCCCCCATGATGAAAGTTACGAAGAAACGGCCCCCAGTCCCCGGCGACCCCGCTATTTCTGGCTACGGTGGCGACCATGGTAACGGCGGGGCAGGGAGTGCTGACAATCTCCGGTAGAGGTTCGATTACGGATCTGAGACGTGGTCCTTCACTGCTGGCCGTATGAGGAAGCTCAAGGTAGCCCAGCGAGCTATGGAGAGGGCTATGCTCGGTGTTTCTCTGCGTGATAAACTTAGAAATGAGGATATATAGTAGAACCAGAGTAACCGACATAGCCCAACGGATTAGTAAGCTGAAGTGGCAGTGGGCCGGCCATATAGTTCGAAGAACCGACAACCGATGGTGAAGAAAGGTTCTAGAGTGGCAGCCTCGTAACGGTAGGCGAAGTGTAGGGCGACCCCCCACTAGATGGAGTGACGACCTGGTAAGACATGCAGGAAGTCGATGGATGGAGGTGGCTCAGGACCGTGCTTTGTGGCATTCCTTGGGGGAGGCCTATGTTTAGCAGTGGACTTATGAAAGGCAGTAATGATGATGAAGAATCAAAATGCAGATGCGTTGTCACCCCTGAGGACTGAGATGGAATGCCTCGTTTCCAGTAAAAAGGGTCTCCGGTTTTCTACTCATCGTAAGAAACACAGCAGCATTAAGCCGCTATTGTAAGCTGTTATTCTGTGAGAGCGTGGTCCTACCCCGGTCGAGCCGACCCATTCATGCTGCAACCACAATATAGCTGCAGCATGTCTCTACCACGTAAATATAGCCTCCGAGAATAGCCCTCTCCATAGCTCGCTGAGCGACCTTGAGCTTCCTCATCCGGCCAGCAGTGAAGGACCACGTCTCAGTTCCATAGGTCATCACTGGCAACACGCACTGGTTGTACAGTCTCGTTTTCAAGTTTTGAGGTATACCTGACGAGATGTGCCGTAATTTGCCGAACGCTACCCAGCCGAGTTGAGTCCGTCGATTGACCTCTCGGTCGAAGTTAGACTTACCTAGTCGGACTATTTGTCCCAGGTAAACATACTTGTCAACAACTTCGAGCTTAGTGCTCCCAACAACTACCGGCATAGGTGTAACAAGGACGTTATACATTTTTATTTTGGCCATGTCCATCTTAAGACTTATCCGTTGGGAGGCACTATTGAGGTCATTGAGCATAGTGCTTAGGTCCTCCAGCGATTCTGCCTTAAAGACTATATCGTCGCCAAATCGAAGGTGAGTGATGTACTAGGCGTTGATGTTAATACCGTATCGTTTCCAGTTCAGAAGCTTGAAAACGTCTTCCAATGCAGCGGTGAAGATTCGGGGATATAACGTCACCCTGTCTTACACCTCTCTGCAGGTGGATAGGTTTCGTACCCTCTCAGAAGGGAAATCGGTCTGTAGTTCGGTTCTATGAACAATACAAGAAAAAAAAAAGTTTTTCAAGTGTTGTCGCCTTTCTTGAAGAACAAGACCACTCTGCACTTCTGCTTCACACCTCCGGTGTAGTGTCACCATGGAGAACGGAATTAAAGAGCTTCTGAAGGACTTCAAGTACCGGTACGCAACCCTCGTCGACACACTCAGTCATTACAACGTTGTTAACGACACTTGTGGACGATAAATCCGACACCTCCTCGGGACAGATGGTCGCCCTTCCGGTGATAGAACAAGTTGCCTGATTCGAGGATTACCATGTTCTCCCCTCTCCGGACCTCAGATAATCCTATAATATTCCAGCCAGTCCTCAGGGTGCGTGCGTTATATTAATAGCAAATTTTATTTTATGTTAAATAAAAAAAATATTTCAATGAGATGTAAGTCCAGTCAACAGATACATCCTTGCCCTGAAACCCTCTCAGTAATAAAATGTGCCCAGAAGAGGGACGCATACAGGCTATATTGCTTTACTTTTACAGTATATATCATTACTAGGCATTAGGCGGTTTCAAATAAAGAATTAATGTTATTTATATATTTTAATCTCATTCATATCAAATTACTGAACATAATTCAAGACTTTAATGTACACTATTGTGTTTATGATTAAGATTTTTCTATAAAATATAAATAAGTGTGGCACCATTTAAGGTAATATTACCTTGTGCCTGTGATAAAATTATTCCAATGATTATTTACCTTATGAAAACATAAAATTACCAGACGATTCAAAATCGTGTAATACCTCTTTAATAATAACATTAAATTCAGCAAGTTTACATAGAAGATATATATATAATAGTGTTACTATTAGTCTTAAAATCGCTACAAATACAAGTAACAATTAAATATATGTATGTACAAGTAAATACACGCTACAGTAACTATGTTTACAAGCTGTGTAACATTTATATCGGTAGTGATTATAACACCACTCCATTTGCCAGATCGCCTAACTTTAAGCAATACAATCACTTGGCAATATCTATACAATTCTTATCTCGTATTATCTTAGTAAGTAGTAACCTATCACACCTTGTACTGTACATTAATGGCAAAAGAGTAACTATCAAAATTATGAATAAAGTGTGAAATAATTCAAAAAATAAATAAGAAGTAGTTCCCATTGTGATGTGGTGGTCCCCATTCTGTTGATTAAACATGTGTCCCTATTGAAAAGCAAGCAATTGTAAAATATGATTTAAAGTTTAGAGTCATTTAATTACAATCAGTTTTCTACGTGTAAAGTTTTGTCAATGATTTGAACCATTTAAATATAAAATAAAACATTATTGTATGAATAGGGGACAGGCATTTAGAGAATATTTAATACCAAGAACTTTTTAGAATACAATAGAATTTTAATTGCCTAATTGTTAACATAAGTGAAGTCCAATAAAATAAGTTGCGGTTATGTTGACTTAACAGACCATCACCAAAAAAGAACCACTGCTAGTAATCCCCAAAATATTATTTACATTCTTGTAATTTTCTGATTTCAAACAATAACATTACAACGAAAGATAGAATATCTTTTTTTTATTTCATTTTATCTTAAAAATAAAGAAGAATTAAAAATATAACATGATAATTAATTACCACTAAATTAAATAAAATTTATACATGAATAATATATAGCATCAACAATCAATTTACCACAGTAAAACGTTTAGCGAAAATATTTTTAGAGAATGACAATGTTGACTTAAAAGTAAGAAAAATTTACCAGAAGGAATGTAATTAACTGTCAGGCCACCGAGTTTAAAATGATATGGTAATTTAAAACTCTATTGTCTATACTACAGTATTATGTCACTCTATTATAAAATTTGCAAAAACTAAATTACAAAGAAAGTCTCTTATTAAAGAACATTACTTACATATTTTACACTGTGAACATTACTATTAATATCAACCATAGAATAACATTTGTAATGTTTGTTTTTTTAATTCCTACAAAAAGTAGTTAAAATTATTTAAAAGTATTACTCACATAATTAATGTACATATACTTCATGGCAGTAAGTGTAAAAGGATTCTTTTTACACTCATTCAATGTAAGAGGATTTATAATTGGTGTGAAATATAACTATTGCAAATATTTACAGTTAGTCGATTGCTGTGAGAGCATCTTACAGTGCAGGATCCGAAAGTCAGGTACTAGGAGCACATGTGTTGCTTGGAGTTAAGTCAGCTGTCCATGAGCAGGAGTAAGGCATCGTCAGTGGCATGACTCCGATCTGGAGTGCCGGGTGGAAGCTGGCGCTAGTAGTTCACAGTGACCGGATGATGAGATATCGCATTGCCGGTGTGGTGTTGTGTGCCCGAAGTATGGGTAAATGTTGTAACACTGGACCCGCCTGTAGCCGAGCCAGCACGTACTTGCTGAAATTTTAGTATAACTATTATCTAGTAGTATTTGTTTTCGTATGTCATATTTCATTCCTATTAAAATTTCACTGCTAAACATAGGTCTTCCCATAGATTGCCTCATAGGGGAAGAGATATTTGCCATAGTTACCATGCTAGGCAACTGCAGTTTTTTTATTATTTTGAGTTGTCATCATGATGCTGCTGCACACCTCTCGTTTTATATGTTTATTTCAAAGTACAACTTTTATGCTGTACTTTGAAATAAATCCATATCTATATATCTTAGCAAGGCAACTCTTTGCTAAGCCACTGTGTCACGGAACCGTCGTTTATGTTTCATTAAAAGGTCGACAATGACTAAGATCTAATCTTAATTAAGTGGTGATAGGATCCTAGAAAGACATCTATATATAAATTTATTACTATAAATTCACTAACCTGACTAGTTATTTGCATAACAGTGTTATTTTGTTGGTTTTGTGTGATATCTTCTTCAGTGTTTTCGTTTGTAGTTCTGGAAATAAGAATATAAAATATTTTAAATTAATTTAATTATTATTAGTATTGAATTCCGTAAATTTTTCGTAGGTATAGTCAGTCCGAGCCGTGTTGATTGGTATTCTCTTTTAATTGTCTAGCTTTCACAACAATGGATTTCTAAAAATCTATCCTCTAAATTTTATGTAGCCCCATAGATTTAGTATATACTTATAATATTATAAAAATATTCATTTTATGACACGGACACAGCACTCTATATCGATAATTTAAGTTGATGCATGGCGCAGCACTATTCGTCTCGCACATTTCACTCACACTGGTACATTTCGTTTTTGGTCTCACCCTAATCATTCTATCGCCAATCTAATGTATACTATATCTATGTGTAGCACAGATATCCCCTTTACTGAAAAATATTTAATGGCCTAAAAGATACAAAATGTCAATGAATTGAAATGACAATATTATAGAATTGTTTCTTAGTCGTTGCCAACAGCAGTCACAATATTATGCAGTTTGTGACTTAAGCTAATTTTAAGGCACTAGGGAATAATTCCCTAAGTCAATACTTTTTACATTGCTGTGGGTACAGTATTCCTTTCAGTTCAGTTTTTAGAGCAGAAAGAAAAACAGAAGTCAAACTAACCTGATATCATGTTTACGTTCAGGCTGCTCAGTGGTCTCTTTATCGCAATCACCGCATTGCTCGCCTTCTGTGACTTGTTCACTGTTCGGTACAGTTTCGCCTGCCGCCGTATGGGTGCGTTGATGTGATACTAAATTCCCTAAAATATTTTAATAAATCTTTGTTAAATGATAAAAACAATATTATTTTGAAATTACACTTTCTTTAATTTATATTTATTTTTATTACTTCTTATGCCAAGTTTATATTTATATACTGTACTAGAACAAAATAGTGGTCGAAAGAGCGACTGCTGATTATGTGGTTCCAGGTTCAAATCCAGGGTTGGCACAAAATCAGTTAGTGCTTACAGAATTATCAGTTCTTAAGGTGAAAGCAGCAGGGTGGCCCGCGTAATTCAAATTTTCTTACGTTTTTTGGAATTTGCAGATCAGGGCCTGGTTGTTCACTTCACATGATAACACCAAAATCACGTAATGCGTAATCAAAGTCCGGAATTAGCAAGCCAAGGTCTACGAATATAGCAGAAACGGTCCAAGAGTGATAGCCGAGTCAGAAGATATAATAATAACCAATAACACAAAAATTTCCAAGATAGCGAGAGACCGCGCGAAGCATTGACGAATCAATGACTTAGAAGGAAAAAATGGAGGTTAAAATACATTTTTTCAAAATCAAAGGATGAACTCAGGCCTTTTTAGCCAAACTATTTGTTCGCGACGGCCAAATAGTGTTTAAAAGTGATTAAAGACAATATTAAAAGTGAAATCACCGACAAAATTGAGTGAATAGTATATTTAATATAGTTTTACAGCATATTTATAACCCTATAATATTTGTATAGAATGTCGTTTTGATAATAGTTAAGATAAACAACTTTTATTGTACCTAGTCAGGTCATAAGTATTGTCACACAGTAAAAACTTTTCTTTTAGAATGCTGGCCACAAAAAAGTTTATTGAATTCGAATTTCGAATTGTTCATGAAAATAAAACTGTATACTTTTTAGAATTTTACTCATTTTTAAATATAGAGTGGACGCTTAAAGAAGACCGTGTTGCAGTTATTGCGTTGCATCGTTGCGGTTACGCGCCAATTCAAATTTTTGACATACTGAATAATTTGAATATAACCAAAAGATTCGTTTATCGTACCATCAAACGATACAATGAAGACTCTAGTGTAGATGACAGGTCAAGAAGTGGTCGCCCTCGGTCTGTTAGGACTCCAGCAGTGATAAAAGCTGTGAAGGCGCGAATTCAAAGAAATCCCAAACGTAAGCAGAAACTGTTGGCCCTTCAGATGGGGTTAAGCAGAACCACGGTGAAAAGGGTGTTAAATGAAGACTTAGGGCTTCGGGCATATCGAAGAAAAACAGGACATCGTTTGAATGCTCGTCTAATGGACCTGAGACTGAAGAGATGCCGCGCTTTATTGAAGCGGTACGCGGAAAAAAATATCGGGAAATTCTTTTTTCGGATATAAAATTTTTTACCGTAGAAGAGAGCTACAACAAACAAAATGATAAGGTGTACGCACACAGTAGTGAAGAAGCGAGCAACCGTATTCCGCGTGTCCAACGAGGTCATTTTCCATCCTCGCTCATGGTATGGTTGGGAGTTTTTTATTGGGGCTTAACAGAGGTACATTTTTGTGAGAAATGTGTAAAAACTAATGCAGTTGTGTATCAAAATACAGTCCTGACGAACCTTGTGGAACCTGTTTCTCATACAATGTTCAATAACAGGCACTGGGTATTCCAACAAGATTCGGCGCCAGCTCATAGAGAGAAGAGCACACAAGATTGGCGGCTGGTGGCGCGTGAAATCGACTTATTCGGCACGAAGACTGGCCCTCCTCCAGTCCAGATTTGAATCCGTTAGATTACAAGATATGGCAACACTTCGAGGAAAAGGCGTGCTCAAAGCCTCATCCCAATTTGGAGTCACTCAAGACATCCTTGATTAAGGCAGCCGCCGATATTGACATGGACCTCGTTCGTGCTGCGATAGACGACTGGCCGCGCAGATTGAAGGCCTGTATTCAAAATCACGGAGGTCATTTTGAATAAACTTTAGTGTCATAAGAATCTATGTTTTATTAAGTTCATTTTGGTATATAAATGGTTACATAATGAATAAACTTGTTTCAATTATTTTATATTAAACATGTGACAGAATTTATGACCTGACTAGGTATAAGGAAAAATCTACCAATCACAGCGCGTCGTATCGTAGAACTTTCTAGAAGTTTTTTAATTAACTGCGTAATTGCACAGAATAAATAAGTACAGAAGTTGCACTCTTTTGATGTTGACTGCTTGCCGACATTTTAATAGCCTACATACTTATTATTAATCATAAATCGCACACGCAAGCTAAATAAAACTTTATCGCTGCGTGCGAATGTTCGTATTACTTTGTATCTTTTCTCCTTACTACGTCACAACGAACTTTCCGTGGTTGCTAAGGGCTGTTAATAAAGAGTAAAAAAATACGTTGTGAAATGGTATGTTACTTAGGTAAAGTACATATTCTGACTATAATCGACCATATTATCTACTATGTGAATTCTGTGATGCCCAACGTATGCAACTTGCAAGGCAATTCGTCAGGAATCGCGATGCTTGGTTCGTGTAGGTAGATAGTGTAAACAACAAATAAACCCGAAATACGATTCTTAACAGAAATATGATCGTAATATTATATTTAATTGAAAATCTTGTAAACAAAGTTTTAGTTTCAGTATTTTGTGCTATTATAACTTAAAATATTTTAATTACAAAGACGAGTATAGGTATGTCAGTAGGTACTTGGGTAGTGAAGTAAATTCCAACTAAGTTTTGTAATAAAGTACTCAAGTATTACTTCTGTAGTTAAATTATTACTTAATTATTTTTTCGCTATAAGAACTCTATCTAACAAAAAAATGAAATAAATTTACATTTTATTATCCTTCGATAACTCAAAAAATAATATATCTGAATAATTTTAATTGCTCATTAAGCATCCATCCCCGCAACAATTATAGTAGGAACGACGTTTTGCCATTATAATTTATCAAATAGATAGGTAATATACATTTATATTATTCTTAAAATACATTAAAACTTTTTCAACTATTTTAAATATACTTAACACTAAACAAAAACTATTTCGACGAGTATTTCCACAAGTATTTACAAAAAATTATTTACGTAAACAGCGTTAAAAAAAACTAACATTCAATCGTATAGAGCGCGCTAGCCCCGACTGCGATCTACCCCTGGGGCAACTCGCTATTGTAGGTAATTATTTCACGCAGGTAGCAAGAGTGACAGAGGCCTGGTAATAGTTGATACCGAAAATGATGGGAATAATTTTTATGTTCCAAAAGAGTTATAAATATGACATTGAATTAGCATAAGGTATATAGATTAAGGAAGTGAAGGAATATTTTGTATAATTTAACGCATTTGCTAGTTATAGAAAAATTAAAGAATTAATGTACCCAAATATTATGAAAATTTGGGACATTTCGTTTAATAACTTTTTAAAATGTTAATGTATTGAGTAACCTTTATGATGTACTAATAAAGGACTAAATTGCCGATTTGATGGATATATAGCATGTTAGTATAGGATTTAATCTTGTATAGAACATATTGTAATTTATGCCAATTGTATAGTGAAAATGTTATGCAATAAAGAGGCAAAACGGACAACGGCAAGCGGCTCACTATAAAGTAACGCCGAAGTCTACCTTTTGGGCTCAGGACCCAGTAACGTATGAAGAACTACCAGTGGTAACCAGCAGTAGTAGGAAGAACTAGTAGTAGTAATAGTAATTACGTAACCAAAATAACCAGTAAGAAGCAGTAGTATCCGGTAGTAGCTAAAGTGACTATTAACAGAATATAGTGAACAGTGAAAGTGAATGTGTTAGCTAGCCGAAAAAGGTTGTAACTGATATTCGCAGTTACACATAGCCGAAAAAGGTCGTAACTGATATTCGCAGTTACACAGTCAACAGTCCTAATGATTTCTATACTTTCCCTAAAATAAAGAATAAATTATGTGGACAGAGATTTTCATCACCTGAAGAAGCTGTGGACGCCTACAAAACGGCCATCTTGGAGACACCAACTTCCGAATGGAATGGTTGCTTCAATGATTGGTTCCATCGTTATGTGGGAGAAAATCGAAAAAGTTTATTATTATTATTATAGAAGTTTGGGTCATAAATGAGCACATGATAGTAAGTGGATCATGTGGCTCCTAGAAACCTATCTTCAAAATAGAGATGACAACGAAGGACAGCCACATGATCCACTTACTATCATGTGCTCGTTTATGACCCAAACTTCTATAATAATAATAATAAACTTTTTCGATTTTCTCCCACATAACGATGGAACCAACCATTGAAGCAACCATTCCATTCGGAAGTTGGGGTCTCCAAAATGGCCGTTTTGTAGGCGTCCACAGCTTCTTCAGGTGATGAAAATCTCTGTCCACGCAATTTATTCTTTATTTTAGGGAAAGTATAGAAATCATTAGGGCTTAGGTCGGGGCTGTAAGGCGGATGGTCTAATAATTCTATGTTTTCTTGCTCTAAAAACTCTTTTTCTTCTGTGTGCGGTGTGAGAACTCGCATTGTTGTGATGGAGGATGATGCGGCGGTTGCAGTTCTCTCTCTTTACGGAGTTCAGAAACGACCTGTGGCAAACAAATGCTAGCATACCATTCTGCATTAACCGTTCTTTGTCCCTCAAGAGGAATAGTCGTAACATGGCCGGTTTTGGAGACAAACGTCGTGGCCACCATTTTTTTTGCAACACTCCGTGAACGAACAATTTTTGTTGGCTTTAACTCGTTTTCGAACACCCAAACTCGTGACTGGTTTTTTGTTTCGGGTTCGTACGCGTATATCCAGGATTCGTCACCTGATACAATGTTGTATACAGCATTTGAGGATCCTGCGTGGAATCTTTCGAGAGTTCTGACGCACCAAGTAACGCGAGCCGCTTTTTGCTCTTCACAGAGCGAATGCGGTATCCATCAGGAAAACAACTTTTTTACACCTAATTGTTCATGCAAGATTATTTGTATTTGACTCATGCCAATGTCTAAAGTTGTCTGAATTTCGCGGTATGTCACA